TGTGTGTGTATATGTACACACACACACAGTTCTATTCGTCAAAAATAAAGCTCCTGCCTTTTTTTCACTTACTATACTGTAGCTCCTCCCTCAATCTGGTTGTTTCACTTTAAGCATCTTAGTCATGACTGTCATGCACTCTGACTTCTCTTTGTCTCCCCCATTGTTTTATAACCAGCTTCAGTGTGAGCCAGAACTCTACCCCCTCTGCCTTTCCATCATAGTTCAACACAGGTGCTGATTGAAAAATAAGTTCCACTGTGATTCTGTAGTTGGTATGGCCTTTTCTCTCCCTTCCTTCACTTTATGTTGAGAACTTGTTCAGCCACATACCTAAAATAGCGCTCTGACGTGTACAGTCCTGCTGAGGAATGTCTCTGTGGCTGTCCACAGTTCTCTGCGGCAGGAAGTTATGCAAACGCGCATTGCTGCTCCTAGAGCCTTGTGATTAGGGTCTCCAAAGACCTAGTTCTTCAGAGCTACCCCCCTCCCCCCGTAGTGTAGGCAGTCTGACCACTGAATGGACAGAAGGGTCTCTTTTTGCTCACAGTTTTTGGCTTGTCTTGTGTAAATATCTCGAACTTTGACTCCTAAAGATTTATTTTTTAAACCGAGCTGAAGATGAATGCCTCTTCATGTTGAATCCAACCTATTTACTTACTGATTTCCCATATACTTCCCTAGCCAATGGCTAAGTCGTTTCTTGTTATTGTTATTCCCACAAGCCTCTCTCCACCTCCCAATTCTCTTTTTCCCCTCCTACCTGCCTTTTCCCTGTGTTCTACCCTTCCTGCAGGGCACTTGCTGGTGTTGTCTCATATAGAGGGGTGTGGTCTTGACCTCTACTATCAAGCAGAAGTGCCAGAGTTACTTCAGAAGATTCCCATCTTTGACTGAGCTGCTGATTCACCATTTGTCAGCACGATGCTGAAAAAAAAAAATCAATTTCACATATATTCAGTAAACTGAACTTTTTGCTGTGATAGTGCATTCTGAAATTGTTTACCTTAAAGTAAAAAGCCATGAATTTAAATTCTTCCCCAACTCATAAACTTAACGCTTAGATTCACAGAAAATAATAACTTGGATGGAAGACTTGTTGGTTGGTTTACTCCTGTTGCACAGACACAGCACTACATATGTTCAAATGTTTGTGTGCCTGTTTTGTTGGATCCACTCTGGATTAGGACAGATTAGATTAAACCTTGCCTGTTGCACTTTGTTCTTGCCAGGCCTACTGCTAAATGGCACCCGTGTATTTTCACAGCTTTTGGAATTATAATATTGTATCAAAGTCAAAGTTTCGTTTATTTCTCCTTCGTGCCACATGTGGTACATGTGGTGGAATGATATTGTGTACATAGGGTCCCAGTTACATCCAACAAAAGTATAAATTGTAAAAAAAAAAAAAAAACAGTAGTAAGATCTAAGATATGAACCAAGAAATACGTTAAACTAAGCTACACTAAGCACTACTAGAACAAAAACAATACGCCGAACAACAACAGCAGCATGAACATGAGTCTGTGTGAGCAGATGAGTACGAATGAACACAGCAGCATGAAATAAATCAGCAGCAGGAGATCAGCAACATGGATAATCAGCAGCACATATCAACTATCAAGTGGCATCACAGTGTTTTTTTTCACAGTGATTGTCCTGATTAGAGATTCATGAGTCTTAACAGCTTCAGGGTAGAAGCTGTTCCTCAGTCTAGTGGTTCTACACTTAATGCTCCTTAACCTCCTTCCTGAGGGGAGTGGGGCAAAAAGTGTGTGTGCTGGGTGAGTGAGGTCCTTCTTGATGCAGGTAGCCCTCTTCCTGCATCTAGAGGTGTAGATGTCTGTGTTGGTGGGGAGGCTGTCTCCGACAGTCTTCTGTGCAGCCTTCACCACTCTCTGCAAAGCTTTCCTTTCTGCAGCTGTGCAGCCTCCATGCCACACGTTGATGCTGGAGCACAGGATGCTCTCCACTGCGCACCTGTAGAAGGAGGTGAGGACTGCGCTTCTCAGACCAGCTCGTCTCAGCCGTCTGAGGAAGTAGAGTCTCTGATGAGCTTTCTTGATCAGGCTGGTGGTGGTGTTGCCCCAGACGAGGTTGTCATTCATGTGTACACCCAAGTACTTGTGGCTGGAGACCACTTCCACCGCAGATCCTCCTATGTTCAGGTGGTGTAAATGTTTTTGTTCCTTCTGAAGTTCACAATCATCTCCTTTGTCTTCTTCACATTGATGTGAAGGTTATTCTCTTTGCACCAGCTCTCCAGGTGTTCCACCTCTTGCCTGTAGCTGGACTCATCATTATTTGTGATGCATCCCACCAGTGCTGTATCATCAAAAAGCAGCATACAGATGGTACTATGTAATTCATGCGAGGAATTTGTCAATGGGTTCATTATGCTGTCAGTGTTCTTACTTCACATCATTTTTGCACAGTTTATATGCGTTTATAATAATCTGTCTGTAGGACTTTGGGGTTTAATCTTGATATGATCTTAAAAAGAACTTAATTAAACTAACAAAAGCTTATCGTAATTGACATCCATGTCGTCCTCCCTTTTTTTCTATTTTCAAAAAGGACAGTCACTTAGGCTACGTTCACACTGCTGGAAAATGCGTCTCAAATCTAATAACTTTTTTTGTTTTTTTTGTTTTTTTTGTCCGATATGTAACCCATATCCGATTATTTTACATTTATTTATTTATGTATTTATTTAGTTTTCAAATCAGACCCAGATCTATTTCATATGTGGTACTAAATTGAATACGTATCCAATGTTTTTCAAAGTGACTGCAGGCTGAACAGTCCTGTCACATTTCATCCCACTTTTACATCAATGTGGTAAGCGGATTGATCCAAATATTAATAATAATAATACCAACCTAGTGCAGTTTTATTGTTGGAACTCCATACGTCTACAGAACAAATGTCCAGTTGCTTCATCTTTGTTTTTTATTTCCCATGTCCTGGATGACAGAACCTACACCAGCATTTGATACTGAAGTTAGTGTCGGACTGTACTGAGCGAGATGGGATCAATACCCGAGTTTGTTTATTCCTTCAGTACATCACTCTAGTACCAAAAATACAATGCAGTGCTGGAGAAGCCGTCAAACGACAAAATTAAATGTTCCATAATCACTGGACCAAACAAGTGCGTTAGATATTAATTTAATCTGTTTTGATTGCACAACAACTTAAGAATAATACATGCTAATGTGTAGCATCCATATCTATTTCTGCGTCTAATGTCCTTTTTTTTTTTTTTTTTTCTGCGCACGCGTGTCACCTCAGAATTGCAAACGGTTCACACTGGAGTGGAACCGCGGATGGAGGTCAGATTTTAATCATGATGTTAATGATCAAGCAGCAGATCTGAGCAACAAATGGCAATTTAGCCTTAGATTCCTTTAATGGCCAACTTCACCCACTCTTGCTTTAGTGTACAGGTGGAAATATCAGGTATTTTTTTCACCAGCAGCATCTTTGCTTTTTTCCAAGGACCCAAACTTTTCATTCAGCTGTGTGTCTCTTGGTTTTCTGAAGCGTAAGATTAGGCCGTTCATGTTATCTACTGAGTCGTGTTGCTTTCTCCAACAGTCAACAACAAGGTGTCTGACCCTTCATGTTTATCAGATGGTAGCCTACAAACGGTTCAGCTGAAAAGTTATTGGGTTTTTTTGTCCCAATGGGATGCTTTTGGTGTCAGTGCATGCCATTAAAACTGTTATGAGCATCTTAGAATGCACCTACTATCAAATGATGTTTTTCCTCAGGATCAATCCTTCTGACTGTTGAAGCTCTATCTTCTTGGTCGTTATAGCTTTCATCTTGCCTTTTCAGCTCTGTAAAGCAGCATTAACGACAGATTCTGAACATTGTTTACAAGCTGTAATGGTTGTTCCTGATCAGATGTGAGTGAGACAGAAATATATACTGGTAGGTGGAACATTAGGAGTACTTAACTTGACTCGTCTGAAATGTTCTGCGCTATCCAGATCATTTGGGGGGTGGGTGGGGGGGGGGATGTTTGCATAGGGCAGGTCTCTTCAGTCACGTGGTTTTGTGGTTGATTAAAAAAAAAAAAAAGAAACTACCGTTACTTCTTAAAACATATATCTTTGAATTTGAAATTCAGCAAAGGTAGTCTAAAACTTAACAACTGAGTGTTTCTATAGTGGCCGTCTTTTATGCAAAAACATTGTTTATGTAACTGCTTGTTAAAACTGCAAAAGGGGAAACAATCTTCTCACAATTTCACATCTGCCTTTTGCCTTTAACGTTTGTCAACTAAGTAGCTCAAATGCTATGTGGCTAGTACTCATCACCAGATTGTTTGTATAATCCCTTCAGGATGCCATAGGTGTGAGAAGAAACCACAACATTTTTCTTAGTTGTAATGGCAAATGGCTCTGTTGTAAAACTGCTGAGGTAGGTTTCATAAAACCACAAAAGAGCACGTGTAGTGTTAGTTCAGCTTAATCAGACTTTGTGTTTATATGGTTTGTATACATTAATGAATGAGTAGCATTCATTTTATTCATTTAGTATTTTAGTTTTCAGATGCTCATCTGATGCAGGTTTTTAGGTCTGATTTTCTCTTTTCTACAGCTGCTTCCTGATTTAATTTGTTGCCTGCATTGAAATGTTTGCTGCAATAGAAGACCATGTTTATTTTCATCATAATACTATTTAAAGGGAGGGGAAAAAGGAAGATGGAAAATCGTTGTTCTTTTTAATGTAGTCCTCCCTTCTGCTAACATGTGTAGAGCCACCAAAGTGTATTTTTTGCAGTAGCCTAAAACTTTCAACATGAATAATGTAATCTGCACTTGAAGTCCACTGCTGGCTCTTTGCGAACGTTTCTGCTCAGAGCTGTTCCAAGGAGCGCCTGTCAGCCTGGAACAGAAAACTGTTTGGTTTCCCTGTGTATTCTGTGGTGCTGTAGGATTAGTAGAGTTTTGTGTTTCTTCTTGTTAACCCTGTTCTTCTTCTTTTAGGATGGCTTGGATGCACTGGTGCATGACCTTGACTTCCCTGCCCTAAGGAAAAACAAGAGCATTGACAACTTCTTGAATAGATGTAAGCTCGTTGCATCATTTATTTCCCTCTGATGGAGTCCCTTAATGTGGGTGTCCCATTTGAGTTTGCAGACCTCTGTTACATATAGGGTTTAAGTCTAGGACCAGAGAAGAAGGCTGTTTTTGGGTCACCGCCACTATGTATGCTTGGACACAATAGGTGTCTGCTGCTTAGTGTCCCCAACAAAAGAGCTTTCATAAATAGCTGGTGACCCATATGATTCATTTTTAAGGTTGACTTCTTTTTTTCAACTGCGCAACCACTTTAACTTTGATTTAGACATAACAAAAATATCAGTTCAGGGCTGCAAATCATTCTTTAAAAGATATAGAGTAACTCCTTCGTTTTCTGTAGAGCTTGTTTTTTTAGGAAGTAACAACTATGGTTACAGTCAGTGTCTGTCCAGGAAATTAATTTTATAAAACCAGCAACTCTGAAATGGGGTGAAGCATTTATAAATACAGTTATGTCTTTAGTTTCCTGAATGCTTTATTAATTTGTTAACCCATAATTTATTGAAAACGTATAAATTAAACAACAAATGCAGACCCTGTCCTGCTTTTGATTCCGCTTACTGGACTGTCCCTCATTCTGGTAAATGTTTTGTAGCACTGGGTTCAAAAAGTGCTCCTCCCCACATAAACTGGCATACAAACCTTTTATTTAATTGCTGGTATCTTATGGAGAGACGACTTATATCCTGCAGAGAGGAAGTTTAATGTTTATCAGTCCAAGCTACTGTAAATCATTGCACAAAGTTCTGCCATCGCACATTAGCTGAGTTAAAGCATTGATGGATTTAGACTAATGGACCCTGGACCTCCATAGTGAGATGTGCCTGAAGGGCTTCTTACTCCAGAGTCTGAGTGCATCGTGTTTAACATCTACGTCAACTGATCGTTGGACTGTATGTATGTAAGGATGTATTGTAAATCCTTAGCATACACTTACAAGTAAATATAAACAAACAATAAACAACTTATAAGTTTATAATAGCAATCATGCACACTTTTCTGTCATTGTTTTGAATAGTCAAGCAGTAATAAACTTTAAAGTGGAAAGAACCAAAGTCACAAACCTATTCTAATAGCTTTGGGCTTTTTTAGATCATTTGAACTTAGATACCCTCACACCCTGCTTTTCCATGCATTCCAGTGCCATTTGTGGCCCACGAGAGTTGAAAATTATCCCTGCAGTACAGCCATGACCAAATCTGGCTTAAGAGTGGATGCTATCTATCCTGGGGGAACTTAAATTATTGCACTGGGTAGAGGCCAACTCTTAAAAGAAACAACAAAAAAAAAGTTCCCTAAACACTGTCAGCTTTTTTTGGTTTGTTTGCCAACAGTTTTGTTTCTGTTCAAAATGTAACATCACATGACTAAAATGATTTGAGATAATTAAAACAGATATTTACCATAACTACCAGTACATACATTTATTATTATTATTTTTTGTGATGTAGTTTTTACTACATTTTATTAGTACCTTAATGCCTAAAACGAAGTGTGGGTTATTCCTTTCTCTAACTTTGGAGTATAGAGTTGTGCATAATCACTAATTAATGGGGTTTTTTTTTCTAGATGAAGAAACTATTAAAAAACTCCGCAGTCTACGAATGAAAGCAGAAGACTATGAGGTGGTTAAAGTTATTGGAAGAGGTGCATTTGGAGAGGTTCAGCTGGTAAAAACCTTAATTTTTAATATTTTTTTTTTATCATATTTGCATGTTGAACATGAAAAACTGACTCATTGTCACCTTGTCTTTTTCAGGTTAGACACAAAGCCACTCGCAAAGTATATGCTATGAAACTGTTGAGCAAGTTTGAGATGATTAAGAGGTCAGACTCTGCTTTCTTTTGGGAAGAGAGAGACATCATGGCTTTTGCCAACAGTTCGTGGGTGGTGCAGGTATGATGTGATGATGAAATGCCTTAATCTCTTGTAGAGCGCTTAAGAACAACAGTAGTGTAATGCATGAGCGTGCAAGTAATTGGTGAGGTTATTTTTTCTCTCTTGACATTTCAGTTCTATTTCACGAGTAATCATTCCTATTCTTTTCATTTTCCAGCTCTTTTTTGCATTCCAAGATATTCGCTACCTCTACATGGTGATGGAATACATGCCTGGTGGTGACTTGGTTAACTTGATGAGCAACTATGACGTCCCAGGGAAGTGGGCCCGCTTTTACACTGCGGAGGTGGTGCTAGCTCTGGATGGAATCCACTCCATGGGCTTTATACACAGGTGACAATCAGCATCTGCCGTGCTTTTCTTATCTTTTTTTTTTTTTGTTTGTTTTAATTTTTCGATTGACTGCAGTGATTAGAAAACAACCAGGACACAGTACCTGAGACATCTTATGAATAAGTTTTTAAAAGGTCCCATAAATACTAGGCCTGCCGCGATAAACAATAAATCAATTAATTGCAAGATAAATGAACTTTATCAACCTCAGTTTTCATTTATCGTCTTTATCGTTTCTTCATGTCTCTCTCTTTCTACTGAAGACACTGGATGACAAAAGGCTCAACTCCGGTGATCTTCACTGACCCCTCCCTTTCTCTTTTCTCTTCAAAATCCATTTTAACTGTCCAAAATTGCGTTTTTGGATCGTTAAAAGCAGCTAATCTGAGAAGCTAAGCTACGAGCTAAGCTAACAGGCCGACCTCGGGGGGGGGGGGGGGGGCTCTGTCTTGTCGAAGCTCCAAAATTCATGGTAGAAACCCGTACCTTTGTGTAAAAAGTTGTTTTTCTCTGTAAAAAGAAGCTGAGAACTTGTTTACTGATTTTTTTATTAAAAGCTTTGAGTGAAAAACGCTATGCTAAAGAGCTCAAACCACACAGAGCGTCCGCCATTTTTACAACCGAATAAAGGAAGGAGAGACTGCCCATGTCACATTAAGGGGCCTCCCTCCCATTTTTCTTAGAGACACGCTGCTCACTCCCTCACTATCCATCCTTCGGTTCAAACAGTCTTATACTGCCGTCCGCTGGTCAAAAAAGTTACTACACACAAACAAATTAACCAACATTTCTTCTTAAATTTTACAATAATTACTAATTATTGTCAAATTTCAAACAATATTATCGTTTATCGCAGTAATTTCTGAGACAATTAATCGTCCAGCAAAATTTGTTATCGTGACAGACCTAATAAATACCAGTGTGATTTACAGCATAAAGTTCCCAAGTTACTAAAGTTATTATTATTATTAGGTATTCTAAAATAAGTAAGTTGGCAACTAAAAAAAAAGTTAAATTGTTTTTACTATTTTTAATAGAAAAATAGGATTGGTATTTTTAGGCATCAACAAAACCTTTCTAAATGTGTACATTTGTGTGAAATTTATGCTAACAATGGTTAAATAAATAAATAAAATAAAATAAAATTATGCTTTTGATGTGAAAAGTGTTTGATACCAGCTCCCTTTGTTCTCTTCCAGCTAACCATCACATACATATAAACTGTTTTGTATATATAAATGTATATATTTTTTATATACGAGTATTTGAACATATCTGGAGCTCCGGATCATTTTAGTTGTTCTTCGTCTACGTGAAGTGTGTTTTATTTGACCGAGCTTTCATTGTGATAGCAGTGCTGACAATATGTTTGCGTCAACAGAGATGTAAAGCCAGATAACATGTTACTGGACAAAACAGGACACCTAAAACTGGCAGACTTTGGGACCTGCATGAAAATGAAGGAGGTATCATTGTCACTTTACTTGAATTATTGCATATAAAATTACTTGGGCTCTAATGTCTTAATGAGATTTTTTGACCATGTAGTGGATTGGTGATGAGTTTACAATGTTCACCCTGTCAGGATGGTATGGTACGATGCGACACGGCAGTGGGAACTCCAGACTACATTTCACCCGAGGTACTGAAATCTCAAGGAGGAGACGGCTATTATGGCAGGGAGTGTGACTGGTGGTCAGTCGGAGTCTTTCTGTATGAAATGCTTGTCGGTGAGTTTTTACGTATTTATTTTTTTTGGTGAAGCAAATCGTTAGGGGAAAAAACCTACTCAATAAATGTTCTGATTTCTCATGGTTCTTGTTTTCTTGGGCACAGGCGACACTCCTTTCTATGCAGATTCATTGGTGGGGACCTACAGCAAAATTATGAACCACAAGAATGCTTTGACCTTCCCGGACGACAACGACATCTCCAACGATGCAAAGAATCTCATCTGTGCTTTCTTGACTGACAGGTTAGATAGGAGCCCTTTCTTTGTGTGTAAGCATGCGTTTGATCTAGTGCAGAGCATCTCTGTAATGGAACAAGCAGAACATAAAATATGCTGCTGTAAAATATTAAAAAGGAACTTTTTATATTGGTAGTTTGATAATGCATTAACATTATTAACGATCAAACCGTATGTGTTCCTATAGAGAGGTTCGACTGGGCCGTAATGGTGTAGATGAGATAAAGAGGCATCCTTTCTTTAAGAATGACCAGTGGACCTTCGAGAACATCCGAGAGAGTAAGACGTTTTCATCATTAAGAATTCAGACTGATTTGATTTCATTTGGCAGTCTGAACTCTGTTATTTCAATCATGTAGCCAGTCATCGTGTTTTCCATTTGACCAACTGCAGACAGTTGCAGGAAATTCTTGTAGACAAGCCATTCATTCAGTATCCTTTCCAAGACTAAACGTGATTCCTGCTCAGAGTAATAATTGGCAGCACAGCATTTTTGAGGCCAGAGACAGGGGAGCAGTTAAACTCAAATGTTAATGTGCTGGGGTTGACATTGTAGCAGAGTGATTAGAAATGTAGAGCTGAATCCAGTCGCTGCACACAGTTCTTTAGCGGCTTTATGTTTAATACTTCACCAGGCTGGAGAATTGTTCATCTTATGTCAGACCAGTTCTGTCAGCCTACTGCTTTCCTGTTGGGTTTTAAAACACTTCTGTTGTGCAGAAAGTTGCTCTGTGCGGAAAAACTACAGAAGTGCTTGTTTTTGTCCTTTATTTATTGATAATCTGCTGTAAAATTCATTGCTAACAGTTTTGTCAAAAGGAAGAATCATAAAAAATATCAATGACAACAGATTTATAATTGAACTTAATAGACTGTAACATAGAAATGTTTGTTCGTTTTAGAAAAAGTATCATTGTAGTTGTGAACAATGATCATTTTTAGGGAGTCCACAAGTTTTGATTTCCTAATCTTTCAGCAAACTGCTAAATTAACACACAAAATTACATGACTGCAACCAAAACTGATCACCTCGTGAGCTGGTACTTTATTTATTTATTTTGATTATTACAAGATTAAGTTTGTATATTTTTTGCTTGTACTCTTTGTCAGTGTTGTTAACGTTTGTACAAACGATGGCAACCATTGCAGTTCAGTTTTAAACGTTCATAACTTGGTTTTTGATCCTTGTGACTCAGTTGGGGAAAAACTTGTCATCACTTCAAAAAAAAATGTTTTTTTGTCACAGCGATCATGTATTTTGTGTATTATTATGAGTCCCTCCTACCTTTGTGGTATTTGTAGCTGCTGCTCCTGTGGTGCCTGAACTGAGCAGTGACATCGACACCAGTAACTTTGATGACATCGAGGAGGATCGGGGAGAAGAAGAAACCTTTCCCATACCAAAGGCCTTTGTGGGCAACCAGCTTCCTTTTGTTGGCTTCACATATTATAGCAATGAACAGTAAGCATGTCACACTCGATCAGTTTTTCAGAATATGCTTTTACTGTTTACTCTTCACTTTAACGCTAAAAGCTTGTGTAATTTAAACTTTCATAATGTCCCTGTCTGCAGTTTTTCCCGCCGCTCCACCACCAAAAAGACCAGTGACAAACACTGCGTTTCCACAAAAGAGGACAAGAGTCGTGTGAGTAGAACAACACACCTTACAAAGAAGTCTGTATGATGTAAAATGTTTTTTGTTTTTTTTCCTGGCCTGAAAAAATATCTCTGTTTATTTTTTTTAAGCTGGAGAGCCTGCAAAAGCAAGTCTACCAATTAGAGGAGCAGCTCCACAACGAGATGCAGCTTAAAGATGAGTTGGAACAGAAATGCAGGTCTGAATTAAGTCATTTGTTTTTTATGCAATATGCATTTGTTGACTTTGTCTAACTAAAACCACACGTTTCTGTGAGCAATCCTGCAGAAATGTGAGGAAAACAGTTGAGTTCAGTTGTGTTGCATAAACCTAAAAACTGTTTCTAGTTGATTTTTTATTTATTTATTTGAAAGTAAAACAGGCCTTGAGAGAGGTTACTGCCATAGACTGGAGTTACCTTTATTCCCTTATGGTGTGTTGCTTTTTGATGAGGCATCAAAAGAAAATGAAATCTTTATATGATGCAATTCATGTTTATAAAATTTTTATTTTATTTTCAGTATTACATTATAATAAACTTATTCTTCTTATTCTGCACTCCCTAGAACATCAAACGCCAAGATTGAGAAGATCATGAGAGAACTGGATGAAGAGGTTGATTCATTTTTTCTTAATTTAGATAGTCAATAAATGAAAGCATTAGCTGCTGTGAATGTAGTTATACTGTATGTCCATGGAAACAGCCACTAAGTGTTTTCAACCTTTATCCTGCCATTACAGTGTGATATTACTGCCAAGAAATAAAATAAAATATGTTCCTGTTTAGCATCTTTAGCTTGACTGAGAATTGCTTCTGCTGCATCACAGCCGCTCTGTTGTTCCTTGCTGCAGGCAAACCTGAAGAAGAATGCAGAAGCTAACATATCTCTGCTGGAGAAAGACAAGATTATGCTCCAGCACAGGTTCACAGAGTACCAAAGAAAAGCTGACCAGGACGCAGAGAAGAGACGCAATTTGGAGAACGAGGGTAAAGATGACAAAGTGCTGTTCATTTACCGTATTTTCCAGTGTAAAAGTCGCATCAGTCAAAAAAAAAAAAAAAAAACATCATAAAGAGGGAATAAACATATATATGTCGCTTTGGCATATAAATCGCATTTGTTATGATTCACCGCTGACCCGCCACGTTTATTATGCGTTTATTTATTGGTCAAAACAGCTTCATTTCACCTGTGCGGCGCCATCCATCCATCCATCCATCGTGGCCAGAGCCGCTAGCTCTCCAGCGTTCCTCCACCTGCGTCAACTGAGTGAAGCAAGCGTGCACGGGAGGACTCGCTGTTGCAGTTCTTTGAAATTTAAAGCATCAGTCAAAATTGCGTTATGAATACGGATTATAAAAGCTTATAAGTCGCTTCGGCGTATAATTCGCAGCACTGACAAATCTATACAAAGAAACTGCAACTTGTAGAAAATACGGTACATGTTAGACACTTAAAAAGTCAGGTTTGTAAAATGCAGAGTCAGGACATGGACACAGATGTTTAAAATTGTAATACGCAAAAATAAAAATAGAGGTTTTAGTGGGAAGCCATTCAAAATGCCTCAGCAGAAAATGTATGCTCTTTGTCTCTAATGTCCCCAACAGGATTTTCTTACTGCTGCGCACAGAAATGGTGAAAACAAATATTTTTCTGACTTTCTGTTGAGTTATTACAAACCCCAGCTATGAATACATCAGCTGATTGAACTGTCGGCGTGTGACTTTAAATGAACTGCTGCTAGTTTTGCATGCACATCTGAAACATGTTTTGCTTGAATGATGTTGTCTAAAACAACTGAGTATTTGTATGCATTAAAAAAATAAAATAAACCGGGCCTATGCATTTTTTTTTTTTTTTGTGTGTGTGTGTTCGTAGTGTCAACTTTGAAGGAACAGCTTGAAGATATGAAGAAGATCAGTCAGAACTCACAGGCCTCCACTGACAAGATTGTTCAGCTGCAAAATCAGGTACGGAAGAGAAAAGCACAGATACACTTGTAGAGTACAGTTTATTTATTTTATGTTTTTAGTTAATTAATCTAACTGCTTCAACCATTCTGAGCCACAGGGTCCTGAAGCTTTTAGCTCTCATTGATGTACAGATTGTCAGTCAAACTCAAGACCATCACCAAACTGACAGCCACTTGACAAATAACAAACAACTTAATTTCTATGTTCGACTGTGAGAGGGAACAGCTGAGGAAGACTCACAGGAATACGACAACATACAAACTCCACAAGGAAAAGCCCAACCCGAGATTGAAAACGGAAATGTTTATGAGTCGATGGAGGGCGTTTTGTTAAACTTCATAATCTTCTCGTTGGCAGCTGGATGAGGCCAACGGCTTGCTGCGTGCAGAATCAGACACGGCAGTGAGACTGAGGAAAAACAACGCAGAGCTGACGAACGCCTCGAACCATTTGGAAAGTGTGAACCGTGAGCTGCAGGAGCGGAGCCGTGCGGGAGATGCAGTGAAGGCACAGCTGGAGAAGGAGCTCCTGCTTCTTCAGAGCACGCTGGACTCTGAGCGCCGCAACTACAGCCAGGGCTCGGAGGAGATGAGGGAACTGCAAGGTGACGCTGATACTCATGCCAGTCTTTGAATTATTTCCAGCAGAGGACAAATGTTATTCTCTCAGGGGTGTGTAAAATGGAGATTTGGGTGAAAATTGTTTCCAAACTCCTCATCAGAAATCCCATAAATCAACTTGGAAAGTTAAAGATCTGTTTAAAAAGTGCATTCCACATCAGCATTTTAACACGAAAGGCATAGATCAACAGTATTGTAACGGAGTGATATTCAAGTTCTTATGTGAAAGAATTGATGAATCAGTTGATTTACTTAAAATAAAAAAGAAGCCATATATAGACTTTTTTTTTTTTTGGTTTCACTTTCAGCGAGATTAGCCGGACTGCAAGAGGACAACAGAAACCTGAAGCTCAGCTTGTCCAAAGCTGAGGCAGAACGCAAGCAGGCGCAGGAAAGGAGTAACAACCTGGAGAAGGTACATGAGTGTCAGCAGCAAGTCCTTCCTGCATCATAAAGCATTAATTAGTGTCAGTCTTATAACTTGTTGGTTTCTGGGTATTTCCTCTCTCCGTAGGAAAAGAACAGTGTGGAGATAGACCTGAACTACAAGCTGAAGACCTTCCAGCAGCGTCTGGAGCAAGAACAGACTGAACACAGAGTGACACGGGCACAGCTCACAGACAAATATGAGTCTATTGAAGAAGCCAAATCGGCTGCCATGAATGGTATGCCAGCCCCATGCCCAAGCATGCCCGCTCCCTTTTCCTGTTTCTCTTCTTTTTTTAGGTTATTTTCATCAGGTCCTTTTTTTCTCATCCTGAATTGCCTTAAGTTTCTATGATATTTTTTCCCTCATGGGCTCATGTGACAGTTGGTGTGTATTTTATTTCTCACCCAGTCAGTTTTTTTTTTCAGCCTCATTTTTTTTTTTAATATCTGATCTAAAGACACCTTGCGGTGCTGTTTGGGTTAGAGGAATTCTAGAAGTGCAAGCCAGTGAGCATGTCGGGACATTGGCTCATTGTATATTAAAAAAATATATATATATTCAGAATAAATCTTGCCATTTATTAGAAATGTTTTTTTTTTTTTTTTACTTTTTGATCATAGAAGACTGTTAATTTTATCTCTGTTCACCAGCTGTTCAGCAGAAGGTGGCAGAGGAGACGGGAGCGAGGATGAGAGCGGAGAGCCGGGTCCTGGAGGTAGAGAAGCAGTGCTCCATGTTAGAATTCGACCTTAAGCAGTCGGTGCAGAAAATCGAGCAGTTGATGAAACAAAAGGAGAGGCTGGAAGATGAGGTCAGTAAAAAAAAAAAAAAAAAAAAACTTGCGCACATACTCCTGTCATGCTTGAGCTTCTACAATTCTTCCCCCCTCAGGTGAAAAATCTGCAAATGCAGCTGGAACAGGAGTCAAGTAAGCGAGTCGTGGTTCAGAGTGACCTGAAGACCCGCATGCAGGATGTGGACCGTCTGAGGTGTTCGGAGAAGCAGCTGAAGCAGGAGATCAACACAGCGCTGGAGAGCAAACGCTCCCTGGAGTTCCAGCTGGCACAGCTGACCAAGTACGTTTCTGAACTTTATGACACCATCATAATACTTTAACTATAACACTTTATTTATATCTTGTTCAGAATATTTCTTTGGAAGCTCAGAAACAAGATGCCAGTAGCTCCAGACAGAATTTTAACTATTCTCAAACTGGAATACCACACAGTAATTATCTTAAAAAGTTAACGTGGAAATTGCTTTCCAATTGCTTGTTATTTTCAAATAAGTGCCATTATTCCAGCTTAAAGCTTTAATCTGCCAAAGCTCTTCTACAACAGCCTTTTTTTTCCACATAAGGATTAGTCCTGCTCCATCCACTTATTCCCTGATCCTCTGATCAGCTCATTGGACTAAGCAGGATGATTTTGGACAGTTTTTTTATTTATTTATTTTTTACACTTGCTTAAAATGTTTTTAAACTTGCTACATTTTAAAGGAAGTAAAAATAAGACCTGGATCTTGTTTGGTTGATGTTTCCAGACAATACAGAGGCAACGAGGGACAGATGAGGGAACTTCAGGACCAGCTCGAAGCTGAGCAGTATTTTTCTGTAAGTACGAGCTAACATGTTTAGGGGTCTCCTGATGTAGTTTCAGAACTTGAAACCAGAACTTTTCTGTCTTTCTCAGACACTTTACAAAACTCAGGTCAAGGAGCTAAAAGAGGAGATTGAGGAAAGGAACCGACAGGTACAAGAAGCACAAAAACGGGTGCTGGATTTGTTGAGTGAAAGGTAAGAGATAAAATGCTTTTCATCCCTCTTGCAATATACAGTAGTCCCTCGTTTATCATGGGGGTTACATTGCGGACCCCACTCCCCCACAATAAGTGAAAATCTGCAAAGTAGGGACGTTATATTTATTTGAGTATTTCTACATATTTTAAGGCTTTTGAAAAACTTCCCACACTCTTACAACCTTCTAAACTCAAACCTATGTCATTTTAACAACATGTGTATGTACTGTGTACAGTGCTACAAAATTTTACTCACCAGCTCTGCTGAACACAGCAGCTCAGTTCCGGTCCGGCTCGGCCGACATACCCTGCTGGACCTACCCTGCCGGTTCTGGTCGGCTCTCTGCAGCCGTTGAGCACCAAAACGCTTTTGGAGGGAGCCGACCTTCGGATGACCAGCACAGGACCAGACGGTGGCCCGATCGAGCCCAAATCCGGATGAAAAAGTCCTGGTGGGCTTCGGAGAGAACGCCGGACTGGCGGGCAGCACTCCGATTCACCAATGAGTCTGCAGTTCATGTTCTGGTCCGGTTCTGGTCGGCTCTCTGCAGCCACCGGACGCCGAAGTCACTATGAATAAGGACCGAACTTTTTTGGATTGGATCAAAACTTTCCCGCCATTTCAGCAGAAGGCAACGGATGAAAGCACTGTTGCTTCTGGGTGGTGCACCATTGGCTTCTGGGAAATGTAGTCCTTTTGAGTGGCGATAGTGTAGGCTTATTGAGAGAAAACTACAAAATGGTGACGCCTGTCCAAAGTAATTTTTTGTTAACTTTTTACTGTATCCAGTACTGTCCCAATCACGTGAGTAATATTAAAGTTGACAGTTGTGTGTCGTGTACAATTTTTTTTTTCTCGTGGACAATCTTACTTTGAAAAACCGCAAAAGAGCGCGCCTGCAAAAGTCGAACCACGAAGTAGCGAGGGACTACTGTAGATTATAATCTGAGTGTGTGGATGTTGGTTTGCTTCAATTTTTAATAGATATGGACTAACTAGATCACACTCTTGTCTTTGCTACAGGGACTCCCTGACTGCTCAGCTGGATCTGACAGTAACCAAGGCCGAGTCCGAGCAGCTTGCTCGCGGCCTTCAGGAGGAGGAGTATTTTGAGCTCATCCAGGAGAACAAGAAAGCAGCAGCCAGGCACAAGCAGGAGGTCGGGGAAAAGGAAGCCACTATTGCTCGGGTGAGGAGAAACCAAAAGGCTTTCTTTTTGTAAAAAAAAAAAAAAAATCAGTTTTACTGCAGCACAACGTTTGAGCTGTTTGACTTTATGAGTGGGGAAGTAATTTTCCACTTTCTGTGCAGCTCGAGGAATCCAATATCACGTTAACCAAAGATGTCGAGAACCTCAGCAAAGAGAAAGCCGAGTTAAGCGAGAAGCTTCGTTCTCAGGATGAAGGTATTTTAAAACTGCTGGACTTTATCTCCATTATATTGGAATAGGTTTTTGCAAACAGAGTTTCTTTTCTCTCTGAAGCATATGAAGCACAGAGGGAAGAGCACATAAATGCAATCAAAGCCAACTACGACAAGGTCCTCAATACAGAACGTACTCTGAAGATTCAGGTAAAGACATAAATCTCATGAGAATTTAGCAATCCAAGTCTTTTAGCTGATTCTTTGCGCTGGTTCCATCTTCTGTCCTCCCGTCAGGCGGTGAACAAACTGGCAGAGATCATGAATCGTAAAGATATGAAGCTGGACCAGAAGAAGAAGGGCAGTACGGCGGATCTGAGGAAGAAGGAGAAGGAGAACCGCAAGCTTCAGCTGGAGCTTAATCAGGAGAAAGAAAAGTTTAACCACATGGCCATCAAATACCAGAAAGAACTCAACGAGATGCAGGCCGTGGGTTATCGCCTCGATAAACTCGAGCGTAGTCTGATGATGTAGGGTGGTGACTGGTTTTAAACACGATGTTCTGGTCTTACAGCAACTTGCAGAGGAGTGCACAAATCGCAACGACCTGCAGATGCAGCTCGACAGCAAGGAGAGTGACATCGAGCAGCTGCGAGAGAAGCTGAACGATCTGCAGCAACGGATGGAAAATTCCAGCATCACGAGCTTGCAGACAGATGAAACGGACAGTAACATTGCAGGTATGATCACAACCGAGCGGAGCCGTTTCCTTTTCATCATTCAACGCACCGTCTTAAACAACTTGTGATTTTCTTTGTAACAAATCTGGAGTAAGCGTTTTGAAAGATAATTGTCGTGTTGCCTCGGGCGACACAAACCTCTTGCTGAAACACGTCGTATTTCTCCAGTTTTTATATTCAGAGTATAATTTCTTGCTTTCAGGGGTTTTAAAGCAGAATCATTAGCATTTGTTTCCTCAATGTTTTACGCACAAACTTATAAAAAGCTGAGCCAGTAAGTGATTTGTAATTCAAGCTGCTGCGCTTGTTTGCATTCAAGATCTGAAATAATCTTGTGTATGAACGTGAATGTACTTTGTGTTTTCATGTGTTTGTAGTTAAATCACTCTCTCTTATTTCCCTCATGCCCAGTTGGTTCTCCTTGCTCTTCTTATCTTTGTAACTCCCATTCCTTTTCCTCTGTGAGTAACTCTGTGGACGAGCCCATCTTGCCGCCCCATGCTGCAGCTGTTGTGTTTTGTCTTGTTTTCCCGTGAATATATATTTATTTTTTTAAACGAACAATGTTTTTTTTTTTTTTTTTTTTTTTTGCCAGAGGTGCTACAGTTGTGGCATGAAAACCCAAAAACACTTTTGAAAGGAGCTGGATGGATTGGGGAGTAGAACTTAAGTTATTAATGATGAATCTGAGAACAAACTCAGTATCATAAGGCCGCTGGTAGCAGCAGAGTTTACTGACGTGACAACACCCTCTGACTTTGATCACGTCACTATCGGCACCTTTTAAACACGTTCAGAGACTAAAAGAGCTGCTCTTACTTCATGGCACTGGGTTCTTTGAACTCCTAACACTCTTGATGTGTTGTTGTCAGCATGTTGACCAAAGGTTCTGCTTGTTTGGACGCAGAGACTTCCCTCACTTTTCGACGAGCCCCTTTAAGTTCACAAGTCCTGCGATGCTTGCGTTGTTGTTGCAGTTGCATGCACTTGTTTTTAAAGTGGTAACACCAAATAATGCAGAAACCTAACCTGCGGTGCACCCGTTTGTTTCTGTGATGATTTTTACCGACTGCAAAACTCCTTAAACACAAATTTTAACCAAAAAAAAAGGGAGTTAACTTTACTTATTCTCTTCCTGCATGGGGTTAGTCCTGTGTCCTGCTCCAGTGCGGTTTCTTAAACTCCCTGAGAAGTTCAAATTAAAGTAGTGTGCTAGTGTAACCTTTGACTTCTGTTTTTTTCCCAGTTGAGTTTGGACTTAATTGTTGCATGACTTCCTTCCAGTATCTTTGAATTCGCTGCACGTTTATTAATTCTTTAGCGTTTTCCTTCACAGAATCCAGACTGGAAGGATGGCTGTCCATTCCTAATCGAGCTAACATCAAGCGATACGGATGGAAGAAGCAGGTACGCTGCGCCTTTTCAGTTTTAAAACGGACAACTTGTGAAAAACTAACAAACTAGAGCTGTGATCCTGGATAAGAGCTAACTCAGACGTTTTATTTCGTTATTATTATTTGCAGTATGTGGTGGTGAGCAGCAAGAAGATTCTGTTCTACAACGATGAGCAGGATAAAGAGCAGTCGAACCCCTCGATGGTACTTGATATTGAGTAAGTGCTTCCTTCCATGGCTCCTCTGCATATCTCAGAACTCGACATTTCAGAAGTTTGAGGTTAGTTGGAGCAAGTGAGAAACTGAAGTTTGTCATTTTGTGTTTTCTTGTGTAGTAAACTGTTTCATGTGAGACCAGTCACACAAGGAGACGTGTACCGCGCCGATACAGAGGAGATTCCTAGGATATTCCAGGTAGGAGGGACCCTTTAACCCCTTCTTGTCCTGGACTTATGCAGTCGCAGATTCTGCTCCAAGTCTTGGCAGAGTTTCTGATAACCCGCTTTCTCTGCTCATTCAGATCTTGTACGCCAACGAGGGAGAGTGCAGGAAAGACGCAGACATTGTAGAGACCGTCCCTCAGGGCGACAAAACCAACTGTCTCCCACACAAAGGCCACGAGTTCATCCCCACGCTGTATCACTTCCCTTCCAACTGTGATGGCTGCTCCAAGCCTCTATGGCACGTCTTCAAGCCGCCTCCAGCCCTCGAGTGCCGCCGCTGCCATGAGAAGTGCCACAAGGACCACCTGGACAAAAAGGAGGATATTATGAGACCCTGCAAAGGTGAAGTTCCATCTTTTGTGTTGGAGTTCATAATCACAAACATAAGATTTTTTAAAGTATGGCTAATTGTTTAGCTGATGCTGAGGCCAAAGTGTTGTAATGTTAATATGAATACAGTTAGTGTCTGACCGCTGATGAAGCATTCACACAATTGTGATCATTTTTCTTCCGTATGTTTTTTGGTGCGTTTCTCTTCCCGCAGTTTTCAGACTATTTCAACAAATCATATATCGAAACGTTCAGCTTTTTCAGGACAATCCTGATATGACTTTTGGTATTGTTGCAACTTTAGCTTTTTGAAATATTTAGCCTTTTCTGCCTTTTTTTTTTTCTCATTGCAAATGAATTGAACTCATTTTACATCCTTCAAATCTTTAGATTTGTTTACAACCTTTTACTGCTCTTCACATTTTGTTCTGCTTCAGCTTCTTTCAGCTTCCTTGTGCAAAATTTAACATTTTTTCAGCTACTGCCGGTACTTTCAGCTAATTCACCTGTTTTTTGCTCCTTTCAGATTTTTTTTTCTGCTAACAACATTTTTGTGCTGCTTCTGTTTTCTGCTCCTTTCAGCTTCTTTATGCAAGTCGCAGCTTTTTCTATATCAGCTACTATTTAGCTGTTTCTATGCTAGTTTTAGCTTTTTCAGCTAATTCCACATTTTTTACACTCATTTAAACTTTTTTTTTTGCCTAATTCAGCAAAAAATTGCTCTCTCTACTTCCTTCTGGTAATTTAAGCTTTTTTAATTTTTTTAATTTTTTTTTTATTTTTTTGCTATTTAGCTACCTTTCAGCTGTCTCTCCCCCCCCCCCATTTTTTTCTGAATATATCCGCTTTTTTGTGCTAATTTCGGCTGCTTTCAGCCTAATTGGGCAAACGTGTTCTTTCTGCTTTCTTCTGCTAATTTAAACTTGTTCTACATTTTTTTTGCATTTTTTAGCAAATTTTAGCTGTTTTCAGATAAATTCAAGTTTTTCTTGGTAATTTGGGGACTAACCTGTGTAAATAAAGGTTGAATGAAACTTTTCTGCTACTTTCAGCCTGATTAACTTCTTTCTGCTAATTTCAGCTTGTTATGCTCTTTTCAGCTTTTTCCTGCTTGTTTCAGTTTTTATTTATTTATTTTTTGCTATTTCAGCTACTGTTTTTATGCTAATTTTAGCTTTTGCTTTTATTTACACATTTTTAACTCATTTCATCACTTTCCACTTCCTTCCGGTAGTTTAAGCTTCGTTAAGACGGGAGCTGGCTGCGGGCTACCGGACCCAGAAACCCCCTCCAGCAAACGTCGCTCCCCCCAGCTCGAACCTCCCTCAGAAGTGGCAACCCAAAATATCAATAAATCAAGGAAACGTCGATTAAGTTTTTATAAATTATATTAAATCAAGGCAGCAAAAAATTCCAGTTTTCAGCGCTGGCCTTTCCAGGACAGTTCGACACGAGCAGCAACCGGAAGGGGCCGATGTCCTGTGTCATTACTCATTTATAGGGTCCTGGACTCCTCCTTCTCAGAAGGAGAGCACAACCTGTCGGTGTATGAGGGGGCGTGACTAAGTGTGATCTCAATGGATCTTATGTGTTTATGATGTGTACAGAAATATGAGACGGTGCTTCAAAAGCCTTCCTACCTGATGTAGCAAGCAGAAATAAACTCTATTCCTTGACGGATGTTGAATCCCTGGGAGTCTTTTTTTTTTTTTGAGTTGCTGGCCCAGTTTAACCCAGTCAGAACCAGGTCATAATTTCATTATAATCCCGTCTCTGAGCAGATCAAAAAACCCACGACCAGTCTAGATAAAATATCTTAACACTTCTTTCTGCTTTTTCAGCTTTTTTTGTTGTTGCTAAATTCAGCATTTTTTAGCTAATTTCCTCATTTTTTTCCCCATTTCTGCTTATTGAAACTTAAGCAAATTTAAAGTTCTTTCCACTTTCTTCTGCTAACTTAAGCTTGTTCTTCCATTTTTTTTTTTTTAGCTAATTTCAGCTGTTTTTCAACAAGTTCTTCTGCATTTTTGCAGGAAATGCAATTTCTCTAGTTGAGTTGAGTTTTCTGCAACATTTGGAAGTCTTTTTTGTTGCTGCATATGAAAATGACTAAATATATATTTATTTTTAGCATCAGCACATTTAAAGTAGGCTTCAAATTTCACATGAGTAAAGTAAGGATGAAGCGACATTACTGTTCATCTGTGACGCCGTGTGCTGTTCTCCACAGTAAACTACGACGTGACCTCTGCCCGGGACATGCTCCTGCTCGCTCTGACCCAAGACGAGCAAAAGAAATGGATCGGCCACCTTGGGAAAAAGATTCCTAAAACCCCACCACCGTTTACTAGAGCCTCGCCCCGTTCCGTGTCCGTTCGCTCTGTATCCAACCAGTCCATGCGCAAGAACCCTAAAGGCAATACGGGGAAACTGAGGTAACTTGACCCTTTATATTTTAGAGCTTTGAAAACATTAAAACTGATTGCACATGCTTCACAAAGATATTTTTACAGAGCTTAATGTAGCTGCATAACATTTTCTCGGGCAGTAAGTGAAGATGTGCTGCAGCCAGATTTTTTATTTTATTTTTTTTCTAAATCTCAGCTCGACGGCTGAGATGTGAGGTCAGTCACGTGACTTGCTCTTTGTTTCCTGTGTTGTAGCCGAGCGCAGTCCAGCCTCCAAGCAGCAGACACAACATCCAGCACTTGTTGACAGGAACCTCTTCAGAAAGTGTTGATGTTGTTCCTTTCTCAAACCGTTTTTTTTTTTTTTTTCTCTAAATCTTTAAACCTTGTGTATTTATTAATCGTCTCCCTGGGTGTTTCTAACGTGAGACACTTCTCGCGTGGTTAGCTGGTTTACTCCTGGGCTCTGTGCAATTCACACTTGGGATTTTTCTAATTGGCACTAATGTTCCGGGGTTCATTAACTGGCTTTATAGAGTTTGCAACTTTATGTGGAATTATCCAGGTTAAGTACTTCTTTTTTTAGTTAACCTGTCAAATAAAATGCAAAGTTTCCGTTACAATCTCTTTGAAGCAGCTTCTCTGTTAAACTGGGTTACTAACAAATGTAAAGATAACAGATTGTCTTTTACTGGAGACTCTTTCTTTGTTTCTTTCAGCTAACCATCTGAATCATTGGGATTTTTTGTGGACTTTTTTTCTTCTCATCTACAAAAATGGAAAGCCTGTACCTTGTTGAAAATGTATAAAGAAAACACATTAAATAACTAATGACAAGCCCTGGAAAATTGCACCCCAAGGCACCGTGGACTTTAAAAGACTTGACTCCACATCATTCATCAGCCTTCATAAATGTCACCCATCCAGCTCAGCACACTTGCAGTTCTCTATTTCAACCAGAAGATGGCACACTCGACCACACACCAGGACAGACAACAGAGAGACTGAAGGACTCGTGACGTGATGCATTCTGTATTTCATATTTTTCTAAAAGGGGGAAATTGAAGGGGGGGTTTCATCTGGACTCCTGTAAGCATGTTTTCAGTTTAAGGTACTGTCGTACAGGGATTATAGATCTGCAGTAAACAATCATTTCTCAGGAGTAGAAAATATCTCAAGACATTTATTTATCCATTTCTCCATTTCTGACAGATCTTTGAGCTAAATACATTTGTTTCATTTCCAGCTAAAAATGACTGATGCCTTCATCTAACTTCTCTGGCCTTTTTGCCTTTTTTTTAAGTCACTTTGCAACTCTTTCAGGTTTGGGACATGACTACCAGATGTTTTTCAGTAAGGACATAAAAGATCGGCATATAAATCTATGCATCATGTTATTGTGGTTATTTTATTGCTCCAAGCCATAAGGAAAAATCCATTATAATGGCATATAGGAGTCATAAAATTAAAACAAATTTTTTTTGTTTATTTGGTACATTGTTTCTGTAAAATATTTTTTTTTGTAATGTATTGCCTTACAGCGATTCATAGATAAATGGCTCAAAAAGGACGACATTAAGTTAACAAGTATAAAACTGCACTGTTTGACTTGACTGTAAATAATTTGTAAAAGACTAAACAGGTGAAGCATTTGGCCCACCTTGTGCCTTAACGTTTGGATATTGATTTTACTGCCATATCGGTTTTTGATTTTTTTTTTTTTGTGGTTCCAACACAAGACGAATATTAATGCTTCCATCTTTTTAAAAAAAAGCCACACGTTTGTGGTTTTATCAGAACTGTCTGTTTTTGAACATTAAAGTATATCCATTAGATTATCCTTTCATGAACACATTGCAATAGACTATTAAAACCCCATCACTTGGTTCATGTTGTGTGAAAACTTACTAAAACAAAAGTTTACGTAAAGCTTGTGTGAATAATTATGTTAACAAATACAAGTTGTTTGTGCAACATAGACATGTCACAGTTATGCAAATCCTCCTTAGTGTATAAAAAAGATAATTATGGAATACTTTCACACTCTTTTATTTGTATTTTTTTTTTCAGTAAACAAAAAAAAAAGCACTGGAAATATGATCTACTCTTGTCTCGGATAATTTGCATGGTTAAATTGCATTGGACTCCGCACTGATGGATATGTCAATAAACATATCTTTATCATGCTTTGTACACTATTTTCTTTTATAGATCTGTTGCAGCGTTACATTTATTTTGGTATATGAGCTGTGAACCACATCTCTTTAATGTTATGTCTGATTCTTCTAGTTTCAGTTTTCTGCATTAAAATAACTAGTCAATTTCCTTTTAGGGAAAAGTCAACCATATTATTAGCCTCTTAAACAAAAAAATATATATACGTGTATATGTATTTCCCCATAATAAACTAGTCGATCTTAAAGCTATCCCAGCCTTGACATAAAAATATTAAATTTTAATTATTTATTTTAACTACATGTATATTTAATGTGTAACCATACAGAAGTGCAGATATTCTAGCACTAGCAGAGGGTAAGGTAAACTCAGGTGCTTAGTTTTACCTTTTGAGACCTGTTATTGTATGGTTTCAGTACACAAAGTGTAAAAGCTTTGAATTTAAGACAAAATGATCTAATGTGGTTTTAGAGTCTATGACAAGCCACTTAATCATTTAAAGTCTGAAATATCGATTTCAAGCAGGTTTCTGTACTGTATTGTTACAAAGGCCTGCCTCCATAAATGGATTTTAATCAAGCAGGGCAGATAGCCGCATGTCGAGCACATCGATCAGTTCCAAGCGTGTTGTTGCAGCGTCATCCTGTTTGAATGAAGTTCTGGCTGAGAACTAGCCAACTCTTGGTTTGCGCCCCAGCAAACTGAAACAGGAAAAAAATTGATCCCGAGGAAGTGAAATATTGCCAACCATGCCGGTGTTTACAGGTATGATGTACATCCAACACTATATGCTCGTTTTTATTAAAACTAGTCATAAAACACGAATCCTAACACGTGTTTAAGTGAGACAGCGTTTATCCATTAGCTTAGCTGCCCAAGTGGTATGCAGTTAGCATGCTAGCAGTGATAGGCTGACTAAACTAAATCTGATTCAGTTGTTCCATGAATATTGCGTAAGATAAAGACTTATAAGAAGTTATTTTTTTTCGGTTAAGTATGTTTTTTGGCGAAGCCGACTACTACATGACAATTTAAACGAAGCTAATAATTTAGCTAAGTGCTAAGTTTGACTGTTTTGGTAGTTACTTGCGAAAACTTTTTTCACTACAACATAGACACTTTTATGATATGTTTGTGGTGACATGTCTTGTTTTATTACATTTTGAACACAACTGGAACGTTTATTTTATAAATGTTTATTGCATTAGCAATGCTACTGCACAGCTAGCCCTATTGACTGGGGTCCTATGCGGTCTTTTATTGCGGCTTGTTAAACATAAACCATTAGAAATCAATATTTAACATGTTTTACCAGCGATAATCTTACAAATGGGACACACATCGCACCAAAGCAGTCGCTTAACTCTTTTGTTAGCTTCCACTTTTTGTTTTAGAGCAACAGTCAGCTGAGCTGGGCTGTCCGCTTAGATGCCTGATTAGAAACTAGAAGCACTTTAGTGTTATAAGTCTGGATTTCCCAACGTGTTTTGGTGGGAGGCAGTTGTTTACACATGATGCTGTTTTCTCTTCCTTTCAGTCAATGTGAAATGGGGCAAAGAGAAGTATGATGCAGTAGAGCTGAACACCGAGGAACCACCCATGGTTTTCAAGGCTCAGCTCTTCGCCCTGACAGGAGTTCAGCCTGACAGACAGAAGGTTATGGTAAAAGGAGGCACCCTGAAGGTATTAAGGAAATATGGTACTACTACCTTATAAGGATGAAGCAACACTATTTGTTGCTCTGGTCTGAATAAATACAGATAACAGCCTTTATTATAACTGATGCTAATTTTACACATTTTTTGGGGCATTGCTTGCTCTTGTTTGTAGAGAATCTACACTGCATTCTAATTGCAGTTCACTTGTTGTAATTGAAAACAAGTTGCCATTTATCTTCTCCGGCGATGCCATATAGTAAATAAAAAAAGCTGGTACATTTAGTGTTCTTGCGGCTGCCGATCAACTCATATATTTCCAATCGACTAATAAATGTACTTCCTTTCTAGGATGATGAGTGGGGAAACATTAAATTGAAAAATGTGAGTATTTGATCTATTTACAGTCCTTTGCCTTTTGTCCTTTCCTTTTTTCTTTGTAGAGACAAACAAGAATATTTTGATTACTCTCTCGCTCTCTCGTTCTCAAGGGAATGACGCTGCTGATGATGGGCTCTGCAGAAGCCCTGCCCGAGGAGCCTGTTGTTCGGCCCATGTTTGTAGAGGATATGACTGAGGAGCAGCTGGCCTCAGCGGTGAGGAACCCTCTTTATTACCAGTATCCCAAAAAGGGTTAAACATTTTTCTTATGTCATCTATATTTATAGAATGCAGAAGGAATATTAAGAACTCTAAACTGTACACTATAAACTTTTTTTGACCGTGTGATGGCAAAGCTTGAAATGGCAGTTGTGGCAAAACGTAACTACATTCTCCTTTTATATTCAATTCTCTATGAAAAAGCTCATTTCACTTTTTCTGTCTTGTGTAGATGGAGCTCCCTTGTGGACTGACAAACTTGGGCAACACGTGCTACATGAACGCCACGGTGCAGTGCCTCCGCTCCGTGCCAGAGCTTAAAACGGCGCTCAGGAAGTACGTTTTTTTTGTGTTGCAACAGGTTTAGAACACAGCATTAATAAAGTTCTGCAATGTGTTGACCTGCTTCATTTTGAAATCTATTCCTTGTATGTAAAAAGCAAGCATGGTTTTTTCATTCCCCTGCTAAAATTCTCTGTTGCTGTTTGCAGGTATTCAGGTGCTCTGCGATCCTCGGGGGCGAATGCACCTGCACAATACATCACAGCTGGTATGAAGCACATTGAAAGGATATTGAGGATGGGCAGCTACAAATTAAAGTTAAACTTTCGGATGAGTCTTAATTGAATTTGTGTGTTCCTCCTCTCATTCTCAGCTCTTCGTGATTTATATGAGACTATGGACAAGACCTCTTCCAGCCTCCCACCCATAATTTTGCTGCAGTTTCTTCACATGGCCTTTCCACAGTTCGCTGAGAAGGGAGACCAAGGACAGTACCTCCAGCAGGTGAGTATCTAGAATATCTAAATAGTTCAAATCCAGGCCATGGGTGTTCTTCTAAAAGTTCTTTTAATCACATTAAGCACATTATTTTTTCCCTCTCAGGATGCTAACGAGTGCTGGGTTCAGATGATGAGAGTGCTTCAACAAAAGTTAGAACCTCTAGATCCAGAGACTGCCATGGAGGTAAATGAATATATTTTTGATTGATAGACTGTGTTCTAGTTATATCTATGTTCAAACATTTGTTTAGATACAGTACATGTGGATTGTGGGGGCTTTCTGCTGTTTTTATCCCATAAATCACATTAAGTTGCACATGCATGCCATAAAAATCTAATTTGATTATTTCTGTCCATCTTTATAGACTGAATCTGAGAGCGGAGCTGCTTCTTCAAAGAAGAACTTCATTGACCAGTATTTTGGTGTAGAATTTGAAACTACGTATCCTTTTCTGTGTTCCTTTTGTTAACGATGCATTTTTTATTATTATTTTTTGGCTAAAAATCGTTTGACTCTGAGCTTTGGTCAAAGGGCGGTGTTTAATGTCCGTGTTGAGTTTAGATGAAGACAACGCTGTAAGCAATTGCTTTGTTGGGGTTTTATAACTTAACTCTGCTGTTCAGCATGAAATGCACAGAGTCTGAGGAAGAAGAGCCAATAAAGGGCAAGGAGAGCCAGCTCCAGCTCAGCTGCTTCATCAACCAGGAAGTCAAGTATCTTGCAACAGGTCTAAGGCTGGTAAGTTGCAGGAAAAGAGCAGAGATAAATGTGTAAAACAACATAAAGTAGATCTTTGCAGTAAAATGTGATGATAAGCAGAATCGCTTTTAAAAGCCTGCTCAGTTTTTAGTTGGAACAAACAGTTCAGCAAAACGTGTATCAAGTGTTTATTTGTTACCAGATAAAATCTTCTCTTGTTTCTCCTCCAGAGGCTGCAGGAAGAGATCACGAAAATGTCTCCATCCTTGAACAGAAATGCTCAGTACATAAAATCCGTAAGTATAAACTTCCTATTATCAGTTCCATCATTCTTTTTCTTTTTTAAATAACCTCCTTTAATTTTTTTTCCCTCATCCCCTTTAGTCCAAACTTAGCCGTCTCCCTGCTTACTTGACTGTTCAGATGGTCCGATTTTTCTACAAAGAGAAAGAATCCGTCAACGCCAAAGTTCTCAAGGTGTCGTCTTCTCGGATCGTCTCGTTTGGATTTATGACCGGCTGGTTTGTTAATTCACTGTCTTTAAATATTGTCATTTTTGAAGGATGTTAAGTTCCCTCTGATGTTGGACGTCTATGAGCTGTGCACCGCTGAGCTGCAGGAGAAAATGCTGCCAGTTAGGTCAAAGTTTAAAGAAATGGAGGACAAAAAGCTGGAGAAACAGCAGCAAAAGGTAACGAACATTTGTCACCTTTTGTCGTTTTTTTTAGTTAGTCAAACTGTCATGCAAACATTCAGAAAAAGTAATTTTGTGTTTTTCTTCTTGCATTAAGTTGTTGAAGAAGCCAGATGCAAGAAAGGAAGTGAAATATGAGCCTTTCTCTTTTGCGGATGGTAGGTTGAGACCCTTAACATTAAAATGCTGCCAAAAATACAGTTGTTTATAGAAGTACATAAAATGTCTCTACATCAAGACAAAAACAAAACATCCTCATCACAAATAAATCTCAAACATCCTAAAATAGATGCTAAAAAAATATCAAACTTCTACTAAATCTGGCCTTGAACGTAAAAACAATCATCACAAACATCTGATTTGTTTTTTAATGATCAGAACCAAATGCTTGTTGCTTGGGTCAAGTTATAAATCAACACTTTTTCTTTTCGTCTTTTACAATTTGCTTCATGAGAACTTTCTCTCCAGTAGTAATAAGTAGTAAAACTTGATTTAATTTTTTTTTTTTTTTATCACAGTTTATGTAAAATATAAATACAGCAATTTTTGTTTGTGTGCTGCTGATGTTACTAGCTCCAGGGGTCTGCAACCTGCGGCTCTGGAGCCACGTGCGGTCCCTCCACAGCGGCTCTTTCAAGCTTTGACCAAAACGAACATAAAATAGAATTTTATTGGTCGATATAAAAACAACAGAAAAGGACTAGTTGTACCTGTTTTCCTGTCATTTCTTTTGCAAAAACTCTTAACTTTTTGCTTTATTTCTATATTTTAATTATTATTTCCACAATTTAAAGAAAAAAATCACATAGATCTGCATAGTTCATAGTTGTTGTTTTCTTTTTGTTTGTTTTAAACTATTTTCCCCCTCTTTATAAGAATCTGGTCTTTTCATTTGTCTTGAATTATAAAAATATCAATAAATGTTAAAAATCATTAGATATTTTTAGCTTTATAATGTCGCCCCTAATGGCCACAAAAGTCTCCTCCAACAACCCTAAAGTGGCCCATGGGCCACCAGTTGATAATCACAGTTGTAGCAGGTTGTTGCGGCTCTGGACACATTTAATTTAGTGAACTAAAGCGTAAAAATGTCTCTTTTGATCGTAATATACTCGGGGTATAATGTGATTAATGGGTGGGTCAGGCCGGTCTCGGGCTTTTAATTAGGTCAGGATCAGCCACGATCCAATTATATGATAACATGGCCTGCCATACATCTGCCAGCCTCACGCATCCATTTCACTGCGAGCTGACTGGCCTTGAAAGAGGTAAAAAAGTTCAGTTACGCTTCAGATGGAACTGTACTGCCAGGCAACAGTCCATCAACCAAATGGACGTCCATTCTGCTGCTGAACTCGGCAAACGCGCGCGGCCGATGACCCAAACAGGTGAGATCCCAAAGCAGACGCGTGTGTCAGAGCTGTCTGTGTGTCTCAGTAATTCAGAAGAAAACAGGCAGAACGAGGTTTAAATGCTTTTTTTTTTTATGGCCATGAAAGAACAAATGCACCTCAGCTCCAAATCTTCTGCCGTTTTTATTCAGCTGCGCGTCCCCGACCGTTAATAACTAATTAAAAATGTCTGGGGTTTTTTCCGGGTTCGGACCTGCAATTACTGATAATTCTTCGGGTCGGGTGGGGTTCGGAAATTAAGACTGGGGCCGGGTCAGATCAGATTTTTTGGACCCGAATGCAGCTCTAGTGTGAACTGAACTCGTGCTCCTGTAACACCTTGCAACAAGACCTGAAGCTGTCAATGTAGGTTTCTTTAGGGAATTTTAAACATTTGATAATATCAATAGAAAAATCAAAGCAAATATGTTAGTTTTTATATTTTACCTTGTTTTATTTTATGTCATCTTCATTTGACTGTTTATAACTGCATTTATTTGATTTAAATTGCTTTTTGTTGAATTATTGTACTTTATATATACTTTCTGGAACAGGTCTCTCTTGTAAATGAGTGACTCACTGAGACTAACGTGTATAACTTGAGGTTGAATGAATGAAAAAGTAATAATTTCCTGTAATTTGAACTGAAAGAAGTTTAATTTAGTTTTCTTTTTTGTAGACCTTGGTTCAAACAACAGCGGCTACTTCGACCTGCAGGCTGTGCTGACTCACCAAGGTCGCTCCAGCTCCTCGGGTCACTACGTGGGCTGGGTCAAGAGGAAAGAAGGTAATCACAGTTTAACACATTCAGACACTAATCAGAGCGTTTAGAATTTAAAGATTCATCTTTTTTCCTCTCCAACAGATGAGTGGATCAAGTTTGACGACGACAAAGTGAGCGTGGTCTCCCCTGAGGACATCCTGCGCCTGTCAGGGGGGGGGGACTGGCATATAGCATATGTTCTACTTTACGGGCCCCGCCGGCTGGAACTACTTGAAGACGAACAGTAGCTGGTGGGAGAGTTCTCCAAACACACGTACAGATTGCCATTTCCAAGCACTGTCTGCATAGATGTGCAATAAAACTGGTGTCTTTAATGATTTGTTTACCTTTTTTTTTTTTTTTTTTTATATATAACCAACACATACGCTTGTAAAAGAAATTGTTAAATATTCAACCATATTGTGCTTTGAAAAATAGAAATACGATGAGGCAATCTTTGGACCAGGTCCGTCAGGTTTTAAGCTCTGCGGTTTGATTAAATGTTTTATACACCTTGTATATTTTTGAAGCCTTTGATGAGGTGATCATATAAACATTCGTTTCATTTAATGACGCTGTTAAAACAAAAGTCTAGCCAGGCTGCCGTCCTGGACTTCCTGGCTTGTCGTTGCAGATGTACTCCAGAACACTTGTCCACCTCTTGGGCCTTGGGGGCCAACCCCAGGTCTAAGTGCTTGGTTCACATCATCTCCTGCGATTGTTCTCCAGATGTACTGACAGATGTGACCCTTTCTGCCAAACTTTCTTTAACACTGTTTTCAGGGAAGTGTGTCTGACGGGAGAGGTGTGGAACAGGTCGCCCTTGTGGTGAACTGGTTAAATAAAGGCTTGAGATCCAACAAGAATGGTTTGTTCTGAAGGCTCTGAATGTTTTTCTTGGTTAATTTGATTTCAGACTTCTCCGTGCAGGTTTCCTGATCGCCACAACATGTAAAACCCGAAAGCTCCATTTTCTGTATTAAGTTATTGATCGCTGCTTCATAGGTGGTAAAAAATAAACTGTTTAAAGCAAAATGTAACGTTTTCTGTGACTACGAAGTGGAAGTGATTAAAAATAAAAACAACCTTTTATTGCATTTCTACAGGTGAAAAAGTTCTGAACTACATACAAAATGTATATCCAACAGCTTCTGTACGACGAAGGATGCTTCAACAAATGAAAGAGCACGTTGGGCAACAAACGGAGTATTTTAAGACTCGTTGAGACTGTCTGCCAGCTGGGAGTAGCCTGCAGCGTTCAGAGCTGTGACCAGGTTCTCCACAGTAGCTTGTGTTCCTTCTCTGTCCTGCCAGGCCACCAGCAGAAGTTTGGCCTGCATGTCAATGTCCTCGCTGTCGGTCTCGATTTCCCGCAAATCTGCCGCCTTCATCTCCAAATGAGAAGCCAGCGTTTTCCACTGGGAGCCCAGTTTGGCTGCGACGTCATCCATCTGCTGGTTTGTCACCAGTTTGCTCTGAATGCTTGGACCTTGGGGAGGAAGAGTCGAGATAAATCAAATACAGATGTTTACTTTTAATTATTTAAAACGTATTTTTCAGGCTTAAATACAGTAGAGTCCCTCGCGGTTCATTTATCGCAAACTATCGTGGTTTTTCAAAATAAGATTGGACATGACTGATTGATGGACGAGCCGCACGATTAGCATAGAATTTTTATTTAAAATAAATTTAAATTATGTAGCACTTTGTGCAGCTCATACTGTAAGATAAGCTTCCTGCTGCGGCTGATCAGCTGTTCTCGGTGCAGAGCGGAGAAGTGGCGTGGCCAAGAACGCTTGTAGGTGGCAAAGCAGCAGAAATGACATTCTGTGCTCTTGAGTGGTTTAGAAACGTTGAGAATATTGCAAGCGTGTGGGAAGGATTTAAAACACACACACACATATATACATATATATATATATATATATATACATATATATATATATATATATACATATATATATATATATATA